TAAAGTTTCAAATTCACACTGCACGCGATTGCGGTCCGGCAGTGCGCTCCAGGAGCGGTGCGTCTGCAGCAGTCATGCTGCGATCGTTTCTGCACGGAATCTATTCTGCTGTGCTGCACGCGCTGAATTAAAGTGACCCCGCATAAACATTTCATTACACCAAATACACAAAATAATGTTATTTTTAGCAACATCATATGACCCCTTTAAGCTGTTACTTTTTAACAGGTGTCTTAACACTTAACACAGATAAACTCATCTACTCACTAGTCGCTTTTACAGCCTCATCATGTTTATAATTGCACTTTTGCTAATTATTCTAACTCAAACCGTGATGTAGTTTGTATTAGAATGTATCTGTGTGCTAATGTGTATTTATAGCCTATGTTTAGCTTTTTACTTCTGCCGATTGTATTTAGGGTTCAAAATTTTTAAATTCACAGTGCTTATTTTCTGCAATAATCCAAAAGCCAACGTAAAAATCCTATTGGGGTTTCATCAAGGGAACAAAGGTGATGACAACTTCCAGGTTAGCCTACAAAAATACGTAATCACAGACGTAAGAAATTATCTGTCACTACTTACATCAAATCGTTACTTTAAGCAATCATAACAGGTGTTATTTCCATATAAAACTACAGCGTCAACAACCTGTTTAAATATCAGAGAGGGTAGACAAACATTCAACCCACTTCACTCACAACACCCACCTTTGCCCAGCTCAAAGGAGAACTTCTCTCCTCGATCACGGCTGGAGTCGAACTGCGTGCCATCAAGCAGTGTTCCAACATAGTGTACAAATACTTTATCACCGGTCATAGGCAACTCAGTGCCTGTACCCTCCTTCTTGACCATCTGTAGAAGAGAGAACGAGATTAATCATCAATCTGTTGGTCACACCTGTGATCTGTCAATCTTCAAAGAGCGCAGACAGAAAAATGTTCACGCCTAATGCTTACATTTATGATACGTTACCTGAAAACAACAAATGAATTAATCTACATTTGTATATAATAAATTACTTTTAAATTGCACAGGTGTGCCATATTGCACATTATAATTACAGCTCATTCAGATACATTTCTCAAATGCATTACACAAAGTGTTCAACTACCCAAACAAGTAATTCCTGTTTGAATCACTTTCCATCTGAAAACACTAACCTGAGAGAAGTTTCCTGAAATTACATGCTGACCTGCATGTGCATATTGAATAGGCTGCCACTTATTTCATTACATAAACGTGTCACTTGTATATAAATTCAAAATCGACGACATTTTAATGTTTACTTGACATTACACATGGTTAATCTATACAAATAAAACTACAACATTGAAACACACCTAAAGAAAAAGTAAAGTTCATCTAAAAATAAGATTTCTGTCGTCATTTATTTGCCCTCATGTTGTTCCAAACGTGAATGACTTTATTGTTTTTGTCTGTGGAACACGAATTTACAATCTAGAGCATATGACAATATCAGTCACCATTCGCTTTCGTTGTATTAGACAAGACTGCAATGAAAGTGAATGGTGACCGGAGCTGCCAACCGCAAAACATATCATTTTGTGTTCCAAAAAA